AGGTCATTTACAATAAATAAATAAAGTTTTTTAATTTTCAATTTTTAAAAGTTTGAAATTAATATAAAAATATGTATAATGCGGCATATTAGGTATGTGAAACATTAGTTGATGAAGCACAAACAATTTCAACGGACAGATTAATAAAACAATAAGGCTCTCGCTCGAAACGGCTGCTCTTGTCCGCCTGTCGTTGTTCAACAAATGGGGCGCCCTTTGTAATATTAAGTAAATAAAGTAAATATACTGCATTTTCCACACTCCAAGGCACACTTAAAAGGCTTTAATTTTCTCAAAAAACGACAGTGCCTTATAATCCGGACCGCCTTATATATATGGATCAATTGGTTGATCCATACTGGTTGTACACGGCACTCAAGGCGCTCTGCCAAACACGGCAAAGCTCGGTCTAAAACGGCGAGATGCTGAGCGGCGCTCAAGCGTGTGAGGTATGGAGCTTGTTCCAGGGCGCGTCAGAGAAACAAATCTGTCGTTCTTTCCGAGCACAGATTAAAGAGCGAGAGACGGCGCCCTTTTCTTTACAGTAGCGGAACCATCTTAACGGGGAAAATAAGTTATTCTAAAAGCAGCCGAAGATTTAAGGCGTGGATGGCGAGGGGGGCAGCGGGGGCGGGCGCACCTCGCAGTATCGATCGGACCCTGAAAGCACCGTCTCCACCTTACTGTCAAAAAGAACAACAGCGAGCGAGTAGAAAACTCCTTCGAGCGCGAGCAGAGATTCTCCTCGCGAGCAACGAAGTTCACGTTTTGCAAACGAGCAAATACCTCGCGGAGACAAACTTTTGCTCGCGGATGTTTGATTTTGGTTAAATTCTAAAGGTCCTTTAATCATTATGTTTTGATCAGAGTTGTGGTTAAAGGTTTAGGTGGGCCGCGAAAGATTTTCAGATTTCAAATTGGGCCGCGGCATTCTTGAGTTTGGGAATCGCTGGTTTAGAGTATCCACGAAAGGGCGGGGCGAAGGACTCGGCTTGTGAGTCCAAACTGTCAATCAAGATTTTTTTCTCGCACTGCCACCATGCACGCCCATTTTGATTTGAAGCGCTGACATTTAATTGTCTAAGTACGACACGTACCAGTGAGTTTCTTTTAGTCGGCGCTGTATGCGTCCATCTTTATTAGTGCATATTCACTTCTGCGCATAAACGCGCACCTTGATGACCTCATCACAACATGACAGACATGTGAACCGGAAGTATCCAAGATACTACAAACCAAACTACGTCCTTTACGGAGCCTCACATTTCCGTTTTCATAGTCCGATACCGCCAGGGCTGTAGTGGAGGGTAAACGCACGTAAACGCCGTTTACGCACCTCTAGAATTTGGAAATAGCGTTTACGCACCTATAAATAGCGTTTACGCACCTCAAAGTGGCGTTTACGCACCTCAAAGTTCCCTGCGCCTTGTATTCTTCCGTTGGAATAATCCGAAATAAACCTGGTGTAATTTTAAAACAGCTAAGACTACGTTACCTGTTGTTGAACATATAAACGCCGTAGTCTGAATCATTTTCATCTGCGCTGTATTACGGTCTGTGACCATCCAATCAGTGCCTTGCGGCTGCAGCAGCGACACCAATCAGGATCCAGGAGGTACACGCTGTGGATCATCCCAGTGGTCCCCAACCTTTCTTACCTCACGGACAGGTTTCACGTCAGACAATATTTCGCGGACCGGTCGAGAAGGTCTGACGGGGGGGGGTAGCAGTCGTTGCGGGCAGAACGACCGACGGGGGGGTAGTAGTCGCGCGCTCTGCGCCTGGTGACGCGTAGATGATGATGCAGAGAGCACAGGGAGAGGAGAAACACCAGGTCCAATAGAGAGAGGAGAAGCACAGAGGAGCCATGAACGTGTTCTGGGGTTCATGGCTCCTCTGTGCAAGGCAGGACCTGACGTGGAGGACAAGGAGGCCCTCTGGGCACTACTGTAAAAAGGAGACTCCATAAGTAGATAGTTCTTAATCTGCAATTGTGTTGTTGTGTTGTGTTGACATACTTTTCTTTACTGTTTTCTTAAATTTAATAAACTACAAACTACTAACACATGTATTCATTGCCATTGATTTTATATGACTTTTACTGATAACAAAATGCAATATAGCCAGGACAGCCTTACAGAGTCGCGACGCTTTGTGCTTCGCATCGTGTCGAGGTCTGTATGATCACAAAATTCAGAGTTTACCCACTTCTAATTTTACCACTACAGCACTGGATACCGCCATTATTAAAACGAAGAATATTTAATTGCATATAAGAACGTGAAATGTAAAACGGAATTATGAAATAAGCCTCTGGAAATGAAAAACGGCATTATGAAATAAAAGACTCTGGAAATGAAAAGTGGCATTATGAAATAAAAGACTCTTGAAATGAAAAGTGGCATTATGAAATAAAAGACTCTGGAAATGAAAAGTGGCATTATGAAATAAAAGACACTGGAAAGGAAAAGTGGCATTATGAAATAAAAGTACCATGAAATGAAAAGTGTCATTATGAAATAAAAGTACCATGAAATGAAAAGTGGCATTATGAAATAAAAGTACCATGAAATGAAAAGTGGCATTATGAAATAAAAGTACCATGAAATAATTAAATGTATTTAATATTTATGTATTTATTGCCTCATTTATTTATTTCATGATGTATTTCAAATGCATATTTCATCTATTTACGTATTTATTAATTTATGGAATGCCGTTTTAGTCACAATTAAATAATTGTGACTAAAACGGCATTCCATACTATGCTATCAAGAAGCACAGTGTTCTATCATTAACCTAAAGTAATGCCCTTGATAGAGGATATGAACAGTTTTGATCTAAGCAGTGGACAATTATTTTTATGTGGAGGACCGGATCATTCTAGTTGGCTCATTGGGTGGGCCAGAGGTAAGATGTAGGCAGTAGCCTATGTCAGTGTTTGTGTTACACTAGATCTGGCCAGATTGTAAAGTGTGTTTAGAAATCAGTAGAGCTGAAGTTTAGACAGTAGACTAATGTCAATTACAGTGCAAGCGAGTGAAAATTAATTGAATACATCGGGCATGACAAGTAGGCTTTATGATGATGCTCTTTGACAGGACACCCTGAAACACCAGATGCTGATGCGGCTGCTGACAAAGTTCGAGCTGGCCTTAACCAGGCAACCCAGTGATCTGGAATATTTCGAATTCATCTGCCGAAATGAGGTATACCTTTGGAATACCTTATCACGGCATATTGACATGCCAGCAGGCTTATTGGAAGCTCTAGAAGTTTTTTTTACAGCAGTGAGGACACGCCTGGATTTGGAGCAGAGTAGGGATCTCCAACCTGACAAAGTCCATGGGGAAACTGGTCGCTCTAGGTACAAAATTGATGAAGATACGCTGGAAGAGCTGATTAGTTTAGATTTGCCTGTGCCCTGCATAGCAAAAATGCTTGGAGTGTCAGAAAGGACTCTCTTCCGGCGAATGAAAGAGTTCCAACTTTCCGCCAGAAATTTCAGTAACATCAGTGATGAACAGCTTGACAATGTGGTGCAGGCCATTAAAACTGAGATGCCAACAGCAGGCTATCGCATGGTGAGGGGGAGGCTGCGATCTATGAACATAAATGTCCAGTGGAGGAGAGTGGCAGTGACAATGCACCGTGTGGACTCCCTTGGCATTCTGTCGAGACTGGATTAGGCTGCATAATTCGCCGCACTTATTCTGTGAGGGTGGAAGGTGAGGGTGTTTTTGGTATTGTGGAATGGTTGTTCTGTTACTCATATGGTGAATACATCTTATTGATGGAACTCAAATTCTGGCCCTCAGGTACAACATTGTACTGTTTGGTGCAGTGGATGGGTACTCCAGAAAGGTAAGGTGTCATATTCCCTTTTTTATTTTTCTAAACTGTTACTGTTACCACTCACAACAGCCACTACTATTTTCTTTGCACTGAAGGACTGATATGCAAAGACACCTATTGGAATCAATGGTACAAAAGCCTTTGCTGCTATATTATGATAATACCCCATATCTCCAGAGCCAGTCACTGGACCTTCCCCAATATGTCCTCCAGTTTATAGACATTTAGGTTTACACCTTAGTGTTACTTGTCTTCTAAATATTATCCTGTCTGTTTTACAGAGTTAAAGCGGATCAAGGTGTTGAAAATGTCGACATTGCCAGATTTATGTTCACAGTTCGGGGATTTGACAGAGGAAGTTTTATGTCAGGCAAAAGCGTTCATAATCAAAGGTTTGTAATGTTTTACCACATGCATTCAAGAATGTTTTGAATGAGGCTTGATGCTGTTATGTTTGGTTTGTATTATTTTGTATTATGTTCATATTATTGTTGCCATCAGAATCGAACGTCTTTGGCGGGATGTGAGGACCTGTGTTACATCAAAGTACTACAACATGCTACACAGTCTGGAGCAGGATGGTGTACTTGACATATCCTCAACAGGTTAGAACATCCTTTAATACAATGGTCTGAAGAACAGTACCAATGGGCAGTTTTAACTGCATATCTAGTCCATCTCCCCAACCCTAACTTTGCTAACCATGCACAGTACAGCATTGATACACCCAACTTACCTTTTTTTTCTAGCATGGGCTACAAATGAAAAAGGGCAGGGTGTATGCTTTTGATGCGACATGGGCTCAGTTGGCTTGTCAGTGTAGCTGGCAAGGTCATAAGTGAAAATACTCCACAACCTTTTTCTCAATCAGTTATTACTTTAACAGAGGACCTGTTTGCTGTCCAAATGGTGTTCGTGCCAAAACTCAAGTTGGATCTTGAAAGTTTTGTCACGGCCTGTGAATCACTCCATCACGTCAGAACCGAACAGTACCCCAGAGCAGTTGTGGCATTTGGGCTTGATGGCTACTCATGTTGTTCAGCCAAAAGATAGAGAGGCATGTTTTCATTCTGTTAGACCAGTTCAACATTAAGATCTTTCATTTAAATTGTGTATCTAAATTTTGGTCAACTGACAAAAAGGACCACCTTTATACATTTATTTTGTATTCTGTTAGGACATTCAGGAGCCAGACATTGACTGGGACATTGCCACTGACCACACTGGAGAGACAGCTGGAGGCATTATTGTTCCAGATGTGGACTGCAATATAAGTAGTGAGAAACTGGCATATGCACAGAGCATGATTGAGCAAAGTGATGTGCCGGCAAAAGAATTGTAATTTCTTTGCCGTGAATATTTGTTTGGAACTGACTGATTTTACCACACTTAGTTAATAAAATTGAGTCTGATTAACTGGATGTCTCAATTGTGTATACATTTTATAAATAGAGCGTAAACCATATTGAACATGTTGAACATTGAACATAAGAAAACAGCCAGTAAACATTGAACATAAGAAAACATTCAGTCAACATAAAACAGTCAGCTTCTTGAAAACTCAAAACCATGGTTAATAGCATGGCACATTACATTTTTGAAATTGGTGTAGCTCCCCATGTGTTCTACGGGCAATGTAATGGTCTGTGCACATGCATTCACGATGGGGAAGCAGATTGTGTGACTGCCATGGCGGGTGGTGCAGTCATGCTCAAATTCAATCCCTATTTTGAACTCTTGATCGATATCAAGAGGTTTATGGCCCTGTCGAGTGACCCACTGGCAAAACCTGCTGACAGTTATGCCTCGATCCTCTTCTTCTGGAAAAATAACACAATAGGACAGTTGTAAAAGGTTAATAGGAACAAACACCTAATTTAAAATGTGCCAGTATAATATCTTCACCTTTATCTTCAAACTCGTTCATTAGGTCCTGAAGGTAATTAACTAGCTTCAACTCCCTTTGTCGCCTCATGGTTCCCGCATCTGAAAATGTAGGTGCTAGAGATCTAATAAGGAAGTCTGCATCCACCTTTAAAAGAAGGGGAGGAAGAGAAGTCTGAAGGCATTGTGCATGAGGAGTAGATTTGAGATGCAGCATTTGGTTACTTTGTTTTTTTTGGCAAATCTGGTGTAAACTGATCCATAGGTCACTATGTGCGGTCAATAGGAAGGAAAAAGAACAAAATTTGCCACAATATGGTCAGAGTTATGGACAAGTCAGTAAAGCTTACCTAATGAAGCATACTAACTGGAGGCTTTATGTCCCATTGGGTCAGCTTTGCTTTCCTATCCATTGTGTCTAAATGCAGGTTTGTCTGTTTGTGTGTACAAATGACTCCAAAATATTTATAAACAGCTGTATAAGATGCACTGCTTACCACGTTTAAAGGCACCGGAACAAATAGCTCCCTGCACATTACTCTGTTAGCCTGGACCATAGGTCTGAGGCCATAGAGTTCCAAACCTGAGCTTAGCTGTTGCAACATGGGCAGCAACTTCACTGTTCCATGTAAGATGATACACCTGTAAAACATGGTTGTAGGTTATGGACAAACCACTGCTGTGCCCCTCCCATCAGTCACTTTAACACATGCTATATTGCTTAAATAACAGGTAACACTCTAAGCGCAAAGAAAAGTCTTACCGCACAATGTCGTCTTTTCTGTCCATTATTGGACCTTTGTAGCCACATGCCACAATTTGATCCGTTAGGTCCAACAAAGAGGTGCTGTCGGCTTCCCGGGCCTAACCATTTAAAATATCCAAAAAACAGAAACATAATTTCTGCTTGTTTTAAAACGTTCTTAGGATTTACAAGGATCAGAGTCACTTATAAAGTGCGGAGTTTACCCCTTATTGAGATACAAAACACACTTTTATGGTCTTAGAGTTTTATATTTGGAATATTATCTCAATGCAGATGACATGAACAAGAATTTAATTTAATGCTTAAAAGTAAGAATTCATATTGATAGAAACTGCAATTACACTGCACCTAGAATTACAAATTACAAAGTAAAAGCAAGGGACAAAAACAGAGCAAAGACCTGACACTGTATGTAAACAGAGACATCAATATATGTTCTGTGATGCTAAGGAGTGAAAAGCTTGCAATTAATTGTACCTCCTCAATATTATTGCAGCATGTTTCCGCATGGAGGCTGAGGAGTTGCAATGGCACCTCCTGGTGGCATGTCACACATTTGGCCATCGGGCATGGCGCTGAACTCCAGGGCGGAAAAGGGAAGGGGAGATGTGTCCAGCACATGCTGGATAGGCATCATATATAGGCACCCCTTGCCTCCCCAGGATTTCACTAGGCCAGCCCCGGTGTAACCAGACTCGTCAGGTGACACTAACATGAGTCGCCTTTGTCCAGACCCTCCTGTTTGAAATTTTATATTAGTAAGGATAGGCGCACGCTACTTCCAAAATAAAGGTCATTTAGGGTGCGAGTGAAAAGACTATTAACTTAAAGTAGAAAAAATGCACTTTCAAGCTTGTCTCGTGCTTATTTCGACCAGTTTATTCACAGACGCGTTTCGGCCTAAGTGCGTGTGCTTGAGAGTGCGATTTCTTCTACTTTAAGTTATGACATTTTATATTAACCATGTAGATGGCAGTTAATAAGATAATATAGAAAAGCACAGAAAAGATGGAGTTAACTGCTCTTACCCATTGCTTTGTGCAACATCCATGGCCGCTCTAGGTCACGCAACGTCGGGTACACCTCACAGAGAAGATCTATGATCTGTGAATTTAAACCACTCAAATAAGAATACCAAAAGTCCCTGAAATGAAATCCTTCAGACATCTTAAACCCAGTCACACACAGTACCTCATTATGGCTAGCACCATCAGGAATATTGACTGTTCTCCTCTCTAGCCCTGCATGTAAGAGGGCTAGCTCCTCCGATGGTTTTGGAGTTTTCTCACTCGAACGACTCAAAATGAAAAACTAAACCGAGGTACTTTTGCCCGCAGACCTCTTGTGTGGCCTCTCCCCAAACCTTCCCGGGAAAGACCTGAGAGAAAGTTTGTAGATGAAAATCAAGCTATTTGAACCCATCCACTACAAAACAACTGTGGATAACCATACGGGGCTGAACATTTGTTAACATGTGACCCTGCTTTACTGAAAAGATTAGCCCAAACAATGACTTTGGGTGAGACACACTGAATAAAATGGGCATAACATCTACAGAGTATAGGCTATGTGAAAATCCAAACCTGGACAAATTTCTCTGCATTGGGTTCCAGAGGGAGCCTGTATTTGTACCCTGTCAGGCCTGGCTGGTCCCTGTGGTGTCACCCTTGGCTGACCCTGAACTTCAATTACAGCATACAAAATTGTTAATTCTCAGACCTGATATCTGATATTATGCACACACGCGTTAATCAATATATAACCAGCCAATTTGAGCACAAATCCTCATTTTGGACAGTAAACGAATTGTCACTACACTACAACTACAATTTGCCAGGTAGGCTATTCATTTACTTACCATCACCCAAGGTACTCCTTATCAAGGTCACTATATTGAGAGCCATTTTTTGTAAATCTTCCTGGATTGGAAAAAAATGGAGGGTCACTTCTTAAACAATACCACAAATAATTTCAGAAAATGTATTTTGTACATATTTTTCAATGTTAACTAGTATTCACCTCATTTCAGTTTGTCATTTTCAGACTTTAGGATGAGGAAGGGAGGGGAAGAAAGTGTCAGAATTAGCTTGAAAGCAGTAAAAACACACTGATAATGGAATAAATTACATTAAAACATTGAAGTCAACTTTGAAAACTCAGCAGCAAAAGCTAGCTACAACAGTTAGCAAGCAACGGCTTCTTGCAAGCGCGGGAATCTTCTGAGGCAGTCAGCGGAGCGGACACTCCAAGCATTTTTGCTAGTAGCTAGCTATGTTACCTACTGGCAGATAACAGCGACTATGTCCCGAGAACTGACGCTTTTTCATGGAATAAATAAAGTGACCGTGGGTCAAATGCCCTAATCACCACTGGTATTTAATCAAAACCGGTTTAATGGGTACCGTTACTTCGGTTCGTCATTAAATATCAGTTTTCACCATAGGCCTACATATATGTAGCTACTTACCGGAGTTTGGTTGAAGTGAGTGACGTGCCTGCCTACAAGACTCTGTCAAAGCCTCAATGACCAGGACCAATCAGAGAAGAGCCGTCCTCCTTTGGTTCCCGCCCACACCCTGCCAAAACCGCCCACACACTGCCAAAAGTCATACTTTCGAGCGAGCAGACCAAGTTTTGCGAGAGTATGTCAGCCTCTGCTCGCAGTTGTTGAATTTCTTCTCGCGCCTGCTAAAATTGAGTGCGAAGAAGAAATTTACGCTTGCGAAAACCTGAAATTCACTTGAATAGACGTTTCCTCGCATGTGTGAGTTTTGTCATTAAACTGACGCCATACCCCGTGGAATGTGGATGTGTAACAGATGTGTTTAGGGCACGGATGTAGTTGACTCAGGTACTGATCTTTTCAGCATTTATTTGGTCCTGCAGACAATAAAACACAGACATTGCCTTCTGGTCTCCACACATCAGCTCCCTACACACAGGGTCTATAGAGGGAAACGTATACGTCAGGACGACCGGATGTAGCGAGTACAAACAGCGCGAAATTAAACAAAACGTATACTTTTATCACCACTCCATCGTCTAGAATAATGACACACCACAGCTGAAAACCGTGGTCCTGTTACCCACGCTAATGGTTACAGTTACATTTAAGAACATTGCGAAATAGTGCGACATCATTTTTCCCTCAACTTACCTTCAACAGAGCAACACTTCTGTGAAGGAAAAACGGGACTACGGAAGCCTAGGAGGCGCAGGAGAGATGAATTGCAATTTCCGCAAATTTAACTCATCAAAATAAAATTCACACACTCACACACTCAACAAGATTGTTGAATAATAACCAAAAATGAGATACAATACATTGAAAATGACTGTACTTCTAACTCCGTTACAGATGCCTACTCAAATTAGACTTTTTTATAATTGAAAAAAGGGACACTCTTTGTTTATGTTGCAGGGTTATTCTATCTATAAATTGTTCATTCAATATTAGATACTGTCCAATTTTTTTTCTTCTGTATTTTGTCTTGTGTAAACAATAATATACATATACACTTAGCCGCCAACTCCCACGGTTTTACCGTGTGACACACGCACTCACGCAACACATCCAATTATCACGCTAAAAAAAATAGGACTTATCCTGGATACCTCCGGTACGGGCAGGGCTGTAGTGGAGGGTAAACGCACGTAAACGCCGTTTACGCACCTCTGGAATTTTGGAAATAGCGTCTACGCACCTATAAATAGCGTTTACGCACCTCAAAGTTCCCTGCGCCTTGTATTCTTCCGTTGGAATAATCCGAAATAAACTTGGTGTAATTTTAAAACAGCTAAGACTACGTTTCCTATTGTTGAACATATAAACGCTGTAGTCTGAATCATGTTCATCTGCGCTGTATTACGGTCTGTGACCATCCAATCAGTGCCTTGCGGCTGCAGCAGCGACACCAATCAGGATCCAGGAGGTGTGTAAACACGCTGTGGATCAGCCCAGTGGTCCCCAACCTTTCTTACCTCACGGACCGGTTTCATGTCAGACAATATTTCGCGGACCGGTCGAGAAGGTCCGACGGGGGGGGTAGTAGTCGTTGCGGGCGGAACGACCGACGGGGGGGGGTAGTAGTCGCGCGCTCTGCGCCTGGTGACGCATAGATTAGAAAAAAAACATGCTGTATAGGCTATTTATGATGACATACATGAGTATTCCTTTAACTTATGTTGTCAGTGTAATTGACAGGGTAATTGACAGGCTGCTTAACTGGTTAACTCTTAAATTCAACATATTTTTTCAGGCAGTGAGAGGACAGGCAATGATGCAGAGAGCACAGGGAGAGGAGAAACACCAGGTCGAATAGAGAGAGAGAAGCACAGAGGAGCCATGAACCCCAGAACGCGTGTTCTGGGGTTCATGGCTCCTCTGTGCAAGGCAGGACCTGACGTGGAGGACAAGGAGGCCCTCTGGGCACTACTGTAAAAAGGAGACTCCATATGTAGATAGTTCTTAATCTGCAATTGTGTTGTTGTGTTGTGTTGACATACTTTTATTTACTGTTTTATTAAATTTAATAAACTACAAACTACTAACACATGTATTCATTGTCATTGATTGTATATGACTTTTACTGACAACAAAATGCAATATAGCCAGGACAGCCTTACAGAGTCGCGACGCTTTGTGTTGCGTTGCTTCGCATCGCGTCGAGGTCTGTATGATCACAAAATTCAGAGTTTACCCACCTCTAATTTTACCACTACAGCACTGGATACCGCCATTATTAAAACAAAGAATATTTAATTGCATGAACGTGAAATGTAAAACGGAATTATGAAATAAGCCTCTGGAAATGAAAAACGGCATTATGAAATGAAAGACTCTGGAAATGAAAAGTGGCATTATGAAATAAAAGACTCTGGAAATGAAAAGTGGCATTATGAAATAAAACACTCTGGAAATGAAAAGTGGCATTATGAAATAAAAGACTCTGGAAAGGAAAAGTGGCATTATGAAATAAAAGTACCATGAAATGAAAAGTGGCATTATGAAATAAAAGTACCATGAAATGAAAAGTGTTCTTCCGTTGGAATAATCCGAAATAAACTTGGTGTAATTTTAAAACAGCTAAGACTACGTTTCCTATTGTTGAACATATAAACGCCGTAGTCTGAATCATGTTCATCTGCGCTGTATTACGGTCTGTGACCATCCAATCAGTGCCTTGCGGCTGCAGCAGCGACACCAATCAGGATCCAGGAGGTGTGTAAACACATACATGCTGTGGATCAGCCCAGTGGTCCCCAACCTTTTTTACCTCACGGACCGGTTTCATGTCAGACAATATTTCGCGGACCGGTCGAGAAGGTCAGATGGGGGGGTAGTAGTCGTTGCGGGCGGAACGACCGACTGGGGGGGGGTAGTAGTAGTAAAAGAACGCCTGGTGACGCGTAGATTAGAAAACAAGTCAGTTCTCAATGTGAAAAAAACGTGCTGTATAGGCTATTTATGATGACATAGGTAGTACAGGAGTGTTCCTTTAACTTATGTTGTCAGTGTCATTGACAGGCTGCTTAACTGGTTAACTCTTAAATATTATATAATATATATAATATTTATATTAGGCGGCACGGTGGCGTGGTGGTTAGCACTGTTGCCTCACAGCAAGAAGGTCCTGGGTTCGATTCCACCCAGTGGCCTTTCTGTGTGGAGTCTGCATGTTCCCCCGTGTCGGCGTGGGTTCTCTCCAGGTTCTCCGGCTTCCTCCCACAGTCCAAAGACATGCTCTGGGGATCAGGTTAATTGGTGACTCTAAATTGCCCGTAGATGTGTGAATGTGAGTGTGAATGGTTGTGTGTCTCTGTGTAGTCCTGCGATTGGCTGGCGACCAATCCAGGATGTACCCTGTCTATCGCCCGAAGTTGGCTGGGATGGACTCCAGCCCCCCCCGCGACCCTGTGTGCAGGATAAGCGGTTTGACGATGGATGGATGGATATATAATATTATATATTATATAATAAACATTTTTTTCAGGCAGTGAGAGGACAGGCAATGATGCAGAGAGCACAGGGAGAGGAGAAACACCAGGTCGAATAGAGAGAGAGAAGCACAGGGGAGCCATGAACGTGTTCTGTTGTTGTGTTGACATACTTTTCTTTACTGTTTTCTTAAATTTAATAAACTACAAACTACTAACACATGTATTCATTGTCATTGATTGTATATGACTTTTACTGATAACATAATGCAATATAGCCAGGACAGACTTACAGAGTCGCAACACTTTGTGTTGCGTTGCTTCGCATCGCGTCGAGGTCTGTATGATCACAAATTCAGAGTTTACCCACCTCCAATTTTACCACTACAGCACTGGGTACGGGTAACCGTCATGTTTTGAAGAGGTCATCAAGGTGCGCGGTTAAATGCGGAAGTAAAAAAATCATAATGAAGATGGACGCACACAGCGCAGACTAAAAGAAACTTAATAGTACGTGTCGTACCTGGACAATTAAATGGCAGTACACACACACAAATACTACATGGTGTCAGAATAGGTGGAAGATGGAGAATGCAAGTGTCCCCACGCCACGGATGGATTGGGATTTGTCTAACCTGCCCGACGCATGGAGAAGGTTTCGCCAGCATGTGGAGCTAATGTTCTCTGCCCCGCTGAGCGCTAAAGAGGAGGAAGGAAAGTGCAGTTATCTACTCTTGTGGATCGGCGAGAAAGGCAGAGACGTCTATAATATATGGACCCTCACGGCAGATGAGAGAAAGGTACTCGAAACATATTATGCGAAATTCGAAGCATACGTAACGCCCAAAGCTAACCCCATTTTCAGGCGATTTAAATTCCATGAGAAGATTCAAAAGGATTGTGAACGTTTCGACCAGTTTGCTAAAGCGGCTAGTAAAAGACGGCAACTACCCTAACGGTGATGAGATGATTAGAGACCGGATCGTTTTCGGTACAAACTCTTCACATTAGGGCCGGGTAAAACTACTCTGTCATGGTCCGGATTTAACGCTCGAGAAAGCCATTGACATTGTCAAATCCTCGGCGATGGTCCAGTCAAGGGGGGGTTGCGCGATGATCTGCGCCCGTGAACCCCCCCCGGGGCATGACTTCAACTGTATAACAAGAGCTAATTCATTCGGACTTGCCAGCTTGTCTTGCTGAGGCGTGAATTACCGTAAATATTATAATGTTCAGTCGTCAATCTGACATGTAGAGTGAACATTTAACATTTATATTTAACATTTATATTTATATTTAACAACTTTGTGTTACTGCCAAACATTATCCTTGGAAAAGTTACTCCATGAATTTACATAAATTTATCTCTAAATGTTTGAAAAAGTGACATATTAATATTGTTGTGCTTTTTTTTCATATGATAATGCTAAATGTAGCAAAACTGTTGTAGAAAGGTCATGCAAATAGCCTATTCAGTGATGTCACATTAGAACATGTGTGCCTGCGTGCACAAGGATGTTATTGTGAGCATGCGCAAAATGAACGGTCAGTGTGAGTTCTCAGATCAAAGAGACAATGGCGGTCTGTCCTTTTTCTCCCGTGAATATACGATACTAGGAGGTATTAGATAACCATTTTGGTGACTGTACTAACGGTAGACTGCGTGCAACATTTTAGAAACGGCGCCCGTTCATTACATTATCTGACACTTTTATCCAAAGCGACAAAGGTTACAATAATTGCATTTCAACCATAAGGATACAAACTCAACATAAACATAAAAGTGCAATTTCATCATGGGAAGGTGGCGACGGTTCATGTGACCTGCCGTTCACATCATAGGAAGATGCCGACGAAGCTCTCTCCGCTGGCTGCGGTCGGTTATCAAAACATTGCCCAAATGACCCTTTTCAGACTTTATGAACAAATACAGAATCCCTTTGTGTTCATTTCTAAAGCATCGCATTAAGACACACATCACTTTATTATTTAAGACGCTGCGCTACTTGCAGGTTGCTGTGTTGTGCCTGATTATCAATGAAGTTAGAAACAATGATTTACGGCAAACGCGTGGCCGTGAAGATACTCATTAACATGTCATTTGCATGAGTAGGAGGATGTCTCCACTGAGAAAGGATCCTTCCAACGACCACCAGAAGGACCTACCACGACCACCGGAACCTGCCGTCCGGACAAAGGAACCTTCTATCGACCACTTTTCGCACCCAGCGTGTTACGCACCAGCTCCCTAGAAGGGAGGGGACCGTTGACACGCCGCTGCTCAAGACCCAAGTGTATCACTACAAGGGGCATGTGGGGGTCGT